TGAGGATAAAGGAAAAGATCTTTGAAATCTTTCCATTTAAATTGCGGCAGTCCATCGAAAACATTTCTTTGAGGATGTTTTGGTTTCGGCCTTGGAAATTTAAACGACATGTTTTGAGCACGAGCTCAGCGCACCACGTGTCAAGCATACCCAAAGGCAGGAAACGCAATAAAAAGCCATGGCATTTGTCTAGGAATATGCCAAATATGGATTGACTGAGACACGCCCATGGACTTACTTGAGGTAAAATCGCCATCTTTCATGAGTTTTAAATGAAATGAATATGTCGCGTTGGCCACTACACCCTACCCACAGCTGATTATGTCAGGCCTAAAGGCACCCGTCTTACTCGTCATAGCTCTGATCAAGACATACTAATTCCCAAGTGCCGTACAAAGCTTTTCCAATTTAGTTACTTTAATCGTGTCGCTAAACTCTGGAATACCTTACCTGTATCCACTCGTATTATTAGTTCTCTCGATCAGTTTAAATCTCACGTACTCCAACGCAATTCGGCTGCCTTTCGTACAAACTATGACGTCACTAACTTCAACACCTGGAAGTCGATCTGCTGCAAATACAGTAGGTCATGTGATGTTCTATAAGTTGGTAACTGCTGCTATTAAGACTTTTTATCGGCCGCATGAGGGATTTATTCCTATCGTTTTTTCTTTTATAATTGGGTTTTTTTTTATATACTTTTCACACTGTCTATTGTCTACATAGTTAGTATTTGTGTATTTCTCGTAAGGGCACACTTAATTTGGAGCCTCGCTCTGTTGTGTGGTCCGCGCCTTTGTCCTCCGTTCTCTTCTGTGTCTTGTTCATATGTAATTATTTTTTAGTCTTTTTAGTATTGTGAGTATGGTGAAAGCGATTAAATAAATAAATAAATAAATGAATTAATTAATGGGTTTACGGCTGATTGTATTTATAAGGGATAACAAGACCCAAAAATCAATATTTGGTCATACATGCCGCAAGTTATAATCATACAAATATGATGGTCTAATCAAAGTTCATGTAATTTGACCCCGTTGACCTAAAGTTGCGTGTTGTACTTTTACACTTTACTGCTTTTTACTACCAGAAGTCACACACAAGAGCCGCGATCAGAAAAACCTGTCTTAAGATCATGATGACGTTAAAAGTTTCACGAGAATTGAAAACAGACCGTACTTATTCTAGCAGAATACGTTAAAACGGCCTTTCGTTCGAAACACGTACATCGAAAACATTCTCTGCTGCGCTGCCGTAAGTCACTGATAATAGACCCTTTCAAGGTTAACGCCACCATTTTGCCGGGGGCACAAAACTGCTGGGGCGAGCGCAAAATGTACAGTGAATGTATGGAAAAAGTCGGGAGATTGATGCTCTATAATTTGAGGAAGGTTGACATTGTGCAATTTCTATGAATTACGAAGTAAAGATACCTAGCGAAAGATGTTGCCGATTAAATATGAAGGGTTCAGGCTCGCTGAGAAGTGAGAAATCTTATTTTTAGTTTTTCATACAAATGCTTTTAAATTTTCCCGGAAACGGCGGTTTGGTTTTAGAGACAAATATATGGAAAATCAAAATCTTAATTTGCGGCTTTTTTCGCGAGACTTCATTTCTC